AAAAAAGTAGATCATTACTATATTTGGACTATTAAGCAGGCAAATTTGCCTGCTACAGTCTACAGATTAAGGGATATGCATATCTATTTGCGCAAATTCCCAAGGATTTTTATAGACTCAGTTGTATTTATAATTTTTTTATAAATTATTGACATAATTTGATGTTTTTAAGGTTGATAGTAAAATTCATTTAATTTTTCCTAATAAGCTATTATTTGCTTTTTTAATTCGTCAAATATATGGTAAAATTTTCATAGTGCTTTATATAAATGACACTAAAGAAACCTGAAAATTTAAATATGAATTATATTTAAATTTTCGGGTTTTCTTTTAGTGACACTCATATACAGTAAAAAATTTTACTATCTTTCACTAGTTTTGCTATTTTTTTTTAGTTTCGCCACCTTTTAACAGTTTCATCAGTTTTGCTACCTTTCACAATTTTGCCATTTTGATTTTTTTTTGTCAAAGTCAAAACTAGGTTTCACTATTTGTCTGTGGTGAAACCTCTAAATTTCATTACACAACATTATTTTATCGATTGTCAACAGCTTCATCAATCGTTAACAGTTCATTAGACATGTAATTTGATGAGACCTTTGGTCAATTCAAAAATAATTTAATCAAGTATCTTTGGTTGTAATGAAAATTGATTATGTATGTGATGCTGTTATTTATAGGACCTTGCACTGTTATCACCAAAATATGATGTTTTTTTGCACTGCCTGTGGCAGCCATAAAGCTTAACCACAATATGAAGTCTAGTTGCAGAGCTTAATCATCAAACATAAGGCTCTTGTACTGCTTGCGACAGTCATAGTGCCTAATCACAATACAAGGTCCTTGTACTGTTATCGCAGTTGCAGAACTTAATCACAAACATGAAGTTCTTGCATTACCTGTAGCAGCAATAGAGCCCAATTACAACATGAGGTCTTTGCATTTCTATTATGACCATGGAGCCTACTTATAAGGGTTATTGCTTGATTCCCTGAAAGTTATTTACCTGCCAACACATTTTCTCAACACTGTAATGCTGACATGATATTTCATATACAACACACTTTTATTTGACATTACATGTTTTTGACAAAACATTCTCTGACAATAATCATTTTCTTGACATAAAATGGCCTGATTTCAGGATTTAGCTTTAAGGTTAGTTGATTTAGAGTTAGTTTTGGTAAGATTATATGTCAGAGAATAATAAATTTTGGGAAAATGTCTCATCTAAGAAAAGGATTTTCGAAAGTATGTAATATTAAATATATGTCTTATCGAAAAAATGTGTTGTAGACGAAATATCATGTCAGCATTACAGTGTCAGGGAAATGTGTTGACAGGTAAACAACTTTCAGAGAATCGTGCCTTACAAGATGAGGACTTTGTATTTCTATAGTTGTGGAACTTAATCACCAAACATGAAGTTTTCGCACTGCCTGCGGCAGCCAAAATTTTTACAATAGGTAATAATCAGTAATATTATGATGATCCTATTTTTAGCTACAAATTTACTTATTTTTTCAATTAATGATCACTACCGACTGTTGTCACATGATTAAATTTGTATGCAGTAAGTAATAAAATGTATTAGTCACTATTATCAAGTAAAACATAATTATAAGTTATTATTACTGCTAAAATTATTTTGCTAATCCATAACCTATTTAAATATGATGTTATGATTTAAATCTAATTAGCAATATTAAAAGGCATTAAGTACCAAGTGAGTGAAAAACTCCTGATAGTTTTTTTTTTAATTTTTAATATATTATTGATTATCAATTTAATATTTATACCATTGTTTTGTAGTTATAATAAATAATAAATTTGATATAAACAAAAATAGTAAAATAAAGGTTCTCTTCAAGGATAATTCACCCATCTAGTATATTATTCAAGATTTGTTAATTTAAATATAAATGCATAAATGTTTATCAAAATCTGTTATACAGTGAAACTTCTATATATGCACGCTTTATATATGCAACCCTCTATAGTTGCACCCTACCTCAGTCCCAACTAATAATAGCACTTATAAAACGACTCTCTATAAATGCACACTTATGGTCGGTCCCAAGGGGGGCATATATGAAGGTTTGACTGGATTATGTACTAACACAATATAATATATTGCAACTCCCTTTAAGCAACTCAAGCGTCTAGTTACAAATAAGATTTTAATACTCATTTACTTCATAAATTAGTGTTACAGGGTAAAATGTATAGACGATAGTTTATATGATATGAGAAGATAAAATAGTTAATCAAAATTTAGAAAAATGAAATCAGTATATATAGATACTTTGACAATAGCTGCTTGCTTAGATATGATACATAAAGCAAATCAGTTTATTGCCTTGTATATTTTTCTTAAGAGTGGTTACAGTATTATTAATCAAACTTATTATAGTAAATTCTAAACTTTAATAACTCGAGAACTGATAAAGATATTATATTTATTCAAATCATTTTAATGTACCCTTAAATGTGATAGAGCAATTATCATAATTTAGCGCATAATTAGGAAACAAAAATCCAATTTTTATTCATAAAACATTTAAAATGCCTTTATCAAATTAAAGAACATGCTAAAACATTCAACAAGTATAATTTACATGTATATATTGATTAGCACACGAATTATTAAAGTTAGAGTTTACTATGTTTTGCTCTCGTGAACAAAAAAAATTGATAGAAGAGGTTTGCTATTGATCTTGACTATGTTTGTTAGGGTCTTATATTAGAGTTAGGAGTTAACAAAATTTATGGTTCAGGGAGAACGTTTTGTAAGAGTTCTAGAGGCAGTATCTTATCCTAATTTTTGAAACGAACGTCTGGTTCGATTGTTTTGATCGTGTTATGTACACTTGATTTTGAAATTTGATTTGTTTACGTTATGTGACTGGAACTTTGTGGTGGCTGGGTAGTTTCTGTTGAAAGAGTTACTTGATAAGTTGACAATTACATGTTATGCCATATTTGAAGATATGATACTCTAACAAAATTTATAGAATTTATTATATAAAACAAATCTACGATAATAAAAAAAATTTAATATTAAAGTAAATATTGAAAATTTGTTACAAAACGAAAAAAAACTTTTAATAATTTCAAAGTTATATAATTATACAGTCCTAAATAATTTTATCTACATACTTAAACATTTTAAAAAAGAACAAAAGTTAAATATTTCTTTGAGTTATAATCAAGTCAAATCTAGTTTGTTAATCTTATACTATCTTTTAGACTTGATTCCTTAATTCCCTTAGTTTCCTTAGCTGCACACCTTTAGGTAATTATTATCTTATCCACTAATTCTTGCATTCAAAGATTCCAATTGTTCAGTTGCTTTTTTACTACCTTTCAGGGCCGACAACCTCAAATAGTATAATCCTAGCTCACAGTTTTTTTCCACTTTAGCTTTTCCATTCAAATAAATATCGCCCAAAAATTGCATAGCATCAGTATGCTTATTTTCAGCAGCTAATTTTAGATAATGTAGAAATTCTTTACGTTTTTCCTCATTTTTAATCTCAGAACACAACGAAGCTGCATATCGATATTGAGCATCAGGAAAATTACCATCAGCAGCTTCCTTAAATAATTCGTTTGCCTTTTCAACATTTTTTTCGACATAATAACCTTCAAAGTAATAATAACCTTTCCAATATTTTGCTATAGCATTACCAAGATCAGAATTTTCATTAAAACATTTCCATGCATCTTTGTACTTTTTCTGCCTGTGAAGTTTGATTCCTTCATCAAGAGATATTTCAACTTTAAATAAATCATCAGGAATTGAAATTCCTTCAGAGAATGTTGGAGTTCTTGAATCGTCAGTTTTTGCGGTAATTGTTCCATCAAAGTCTAATATTCCATCAGGTAAAAGATCAGGAGTAAGATTCATTATTGGATATTCTAAAACTAAATTGTCAAGTGTTACAGTTAACTCTGAAATTGTTATTCGTTCGTGTGGTACAGGATGCCATGCTGTCAGTTAATTATGATAATTAGGAAAATCATTATATTTGAATTAAAAATGATTGGTAAGAATTATTTAAACAAAAATTACCATATTCAACAACTTTAATAAGTTCTCTTTGAATCTTTTCACCATTAGGATCATCGAATCTTCCTATTAAAAGTTTTTCTCGTTTACCACTTATAACATAAGCAGGTATCTCTTTAAAAGACATTTGTTTATAAGGAATTTTTTCATAACAAATTTCCCAAATAAACATTCCAAAGCTAAACACGGATAAATATAAAAATAATAAATGAAGTATATAAAATGTAGATTGCAAGATATTTTTTTAAAGTTAATATTATAATGATAAATAACCTGTAAATTTCGCAATTTCGAGTATATCTTTTTTTTTCTTTATTTTTAGTTTTATCCTTTTGCTCGGGAGTCATCCAATATTCACCATATCTTTCCATTTGTTCAGGAGCCATCCAACGAATAACATCTAATAAATGTCTTGAAAGATTGATAGAAAGATCTTGTACTTCACGTGAATATTTGAAATTTCCAATTTTTGGATTTAAGCCTTTTGTTACCTATAAGTTAATAAACATATATATATAAATATATTTATAAATATATTTATTCATTACATATTGAATTTATATTAAATTTACATTGAATTTATATTGAATTTATATGAAATATTGTCAGATTATTCTTACCAAAATATTTTCACATCTAAGATCATGATGAAAAACATTTACATCACACAAGAATAAAAGTCCTCTACAAATATCACGAATCATTTGTATTTTCCTAGTCCAACAAATATCAAAATTTTCATAAAGTTCTTTCAAATTCCCATATTCAGCCCATTCAGAGACCATAACATCATGACCATCAATATTTGAAAGACCATAGAAACGAAGAATGTTTGGAGATAAATCTAGTTTTCCAAGGATTTTTAATTCACCTTGATGTTTTTCAGCATCTACAATAGGTATACATGCAACATCGAACCCTTTATAAATTTTCTTGATAATCACACGTTGTTGAGAACCACGATTATCTTTCCGAACAGGATCTTTCAATTCATTTGATTCAATTTTTGGAGCAATGATATTAATTTCATCAAATAATTTAGCCTTATCAATTTTAGATTGTATAAATTGAATTTCTTGAGTGATAGTATCAAGTTTTTCTAATTTGTTATCAATACTAGATTCAAGTTTTTCGAGAGTCTAAACAAAATAAAAAACATTTTAGTATTATTTTTATAGTAACAAAATAATAAAATAATAAAATAATAAAATATTTGAATTAAAAGTTTTTATATACTTTGCAAATGTCGGTTAAAGCTTCATCAACTTTTTTGGAATCATTTATTCTATCTTCCTCACTAGCAATTGCAATAGCAAAATGTAGATCATTCATACACATATCATATTCTTTAGTTAATTTATCATATTGATTTTTAATTAATGTTGCATTAAAAAACTTTCTATAACCTTTAAAATTAGCAACATTAATTGTAAAGTCCATAATATTAGTTAAAACAATATGAAATCTTTTAAAAGCCAAATAATAAGCATTTTTACGAAAAAGTTGTTCATTTTCTTTTTGCCTTAACATCATTCTTTCCATTGCATATACAGCAGTTATAGCTCGTTCCGTCATTATTAAACAAATTTGTTTATTAGCTTCAGAATTTTGGTAAGTTTCATTGATTTTTTTGGCTATAAGATTCACAGAATTAACTATAGGAATGTAACAACTCAGAATTTCGGCAATTGTTTGAGCCGAAGTAAATGCTACATCTGCATTTTCGTCCGACATTATACGTAATAAGAGTTATGATAAATCTCAAGTAACAATAAATCGTAAATCTATTTTTTACATGTACTTATATATACCAACATTATCTTTTAATGTCACACGAAATTAGATATAAGTAAAGTGTTACGATAATACAAGTTTGGATGGGTGTACGTACTTATGTGCGTACATACGTAAGAGTTATATCCTGGGGCAGGTGAGTATAAGTAGAATCTTGCAGTAAGTTTTATACTTTATAGCAACATTTCACTTATATCAGGATATAACTGATGTTTTTTGTTTTTTTACCCTATTGGCACGATCGTCTCAGGACACCCAGCCTTTTCCGAAATTGGGCTTTCTATATTTGTAAGTCCACCTCACACTTGAGTTCTCCGGGCTGGGATACTGAGCATTTCCTTTTTCCTTTTTAATGTTCGAATATTAATCTGATCGACCGGAATTTCACCGGAAGTGTTCTGATGCGGAGAATTCTTATTTTAGTTCTTTATTCTTTATTATTAATTATTAATGTGTTACTTGACTGTGGTGATCATGGCACAGTTATTGCTCTCCGTTAGACTCGAACCGGCGACCTTGCGATTGGGACCGGGAGCGCAACTACTTGAACTAACAACCCATGGGTCTGATTCATCCCTACCATTATTTTACATATTGTTTTTGACATTTAAGGTTAAATAGGATAATACTCAATTACCTAAATTAAAATATATATGTCTAGTAGAAGTAAGTAAATGAAAAAAGGTTACATAGATTGGAATAAGTAAATTTAGTATATACGATTAACAAAGCATATAGAATCATTTCGTTAGTTAAGAATAAGGATCTTTTTTTACGTCATAGTAAAGGTTATGGGTACTGTAATTAATCTTCTTTCAACGAAGTTCATTCAACTTATATTAACGTATTATTCTTGTAATTAACTAAGAATATAGTCGGATAAGTGCTTCATAATAACAATATTAGTATGCTAATAATACTACATTAAATTAATAGGAGAAAGTCACAATTATGCAATATATGCACCGAATCCATCCTTTACATACGTTATCAAAACGTGCACTATTTTAATGTTGTGCATCGGTATCAGAATCCACATATGTTGCTTTCGAATATACATAAGTTGTAATACGAATTCTAAATTGTATTCTAGTTGTTAAAGAATTCAATTTCAACTTACACTGAGATTAATTGCGTATTGCTTTGGAACTTAAATTACTTTAAGATGGTTCTGGACAAAATTTGTCGACAAAATTGGTTTATACCCTTTAAAATAAGGACTATTTACAATGCAGCGCGTAGCAAATTAATTAAATTAAAATTAAAAGCATTATATAAATTTTTATCTTTATGGATACTAATTACTACCACAAAGCAATGTCTTAAATAAACACTTATTAACGTTAAAAGAAATATTGTTCAATTCAGAAAACTTGTCAGAACATACAAGTAGGTTACGGTCAAACTTAATAGCATGTGAAAACATCGATTTTTATATTTAAGTTTTGCAAGATCTGACAAATATGATAATGAACGCAGAAGTGTTATTGGGCGAAAATACAGTTGTTATACGTGATCTTACGTTGTCTATTAACCGGTTTGTTGCTATTTATAATTTATTACAGTTCAGTTAGGGAAATGTCATTTTATCACCTTATTTTTTGAGCCTATTTTCAAATACAGAGGTTTAAATTTACTAAAATCATATAACAATAATGAAAAAGTAAAATTAATATACAATAACGATAAAAGGTATAGGGGACTATTACCATCTCTTTATTTTGGCTTTAAATTATTAAAATTTATATACTGTTACGGGTAAAATTGACAGTACTTAAATTTTTCATCGGAGGTGTTACAAATGGCAAATGAACGGAAAAACAAATGGAAAACAACTATGGGTTATCTGTCCCTTCCGCTTTTGTGCTACTGTGCCCATACTAAAAGTTCAGAATTCGAGAGTATCGCATGAACAACCTAAACTACTGTATATACTACTATGACGTTTGTTTTGGCGGCAGAGCAAAAAAAACCAGGGCCCTTTGGAAAAAACCCCGCCGCAACCCAAAGAAATCCTTCGTGACTGTCGTCCCGACAGGTGGTGTGGCTACTGTTCTGTTAGGCAGGCACCTTTCGATACAACACTTAAAGCGACTGTTGCTCGACAAGTCACTTCCTACTAAGGCTGCCATCGTTTGGCAATGCTAAGGAATGACTGTTTTCCCGGTAGATCAAGCCTTCAAGCCACACGCTATGGTTGGGTGGGGGGGGGCAAAAAAACCAGACAAAGTTGGGTTAGCAGAAGAAACAGAAATTACCTTTTCTGGTAACAACCCGTTCCTCTTAAATACTACTAACGATTAGCATAGCGGGCTTTCATTCTGATTGGCTAATTTTTGTATGGCATTACAAAATCTGATTGGCTAATAGAAAACGAGCTCGAAGTAAAAATATCTTAGAAATTATTAGATAAAAAGACATATTTAGACTGTAAAGCTGAATTTAAAATCATAATTTTTAACCAATTGATCTTTATAGTCATTATCAAATGCGTATCTGGTTAGACTTAATAAAAAAAAAGTCTTTAAATACATATATAGGTAATCTTTAGTAACATTATTGCTTCATATCTATTTTCATTTCATAGAAAGCTAAGTCTAAGTTTTTAAAAGTATTGAAAGTTTTATAATAATAATTTGGCATTCTATTTTAAAAAAACATTAAAGATAAGATGTAATATTTTAAATTATATATAAACTTAATAGTATATATTTTTTTGTAATTTTAATTACAAAAATTTTAACTAATTAAATATTTTTTGAACTTTTAAGTAAAGTTATAAAGTAGATTTTTGTAATTATAGTAGTAGTAAAATTATTAAATTTGATTTAAAACTTATTAATATATAAATTTTTAAAAATTAAATATAAAAATTTATTATTAAAAATTTTTTATAAGAGTGTAGTGACTTAGCGAAATAGATAAGTTGTCACTTCTTCAAATGGCAAGTTATAAGTTTAAAATCTACTGGAGATAAAATTTTGAATATATATATATTATGCCAATGGCATTTTATTAATTAGTTAAAATAAAATATTTGTAACTATAGTCATATTAGTATAACTAGCAAGTTATAGAGCATTTATATAATCTTGTTTATACAAAAGAATGCAAACCAATATCAAATAGTACAAATTCAAGATAAGTTCTTGTAATCGTATAAATCTGTAAAACTAAGAAAAACTAAAGTCATTTAAAAAAACCTTAGTAGAAAAATAATATAGATCTTTAATAATACTACTATAAAAGTTAAATCTAAAAAACAAATACTAATATAAAGAAATCAAATAAGCAAAAACCTTTAAATAAAAAGTATTATCAACTAAGTTACCAGAATTTAGACTAGAAAAAAAAGATATCAGATCAGATTCAATATACTAAAAACAAGTCATAGTTTTATTAAATTATCTGAATTAAAAGTTTAAAGCAAAATAGAAATATACTAAAAGTACTAAAGACAAATTATAAAGTAAATGCTAAAGTTCAGATAAACTTTACTTTTTTTTTTTTTTAAATATTAAGGTAAGTACTTGCGACCCAGGATTTTATTGATAGTACATTTAGCTAATGGTTGCATTACAACCACAGGGGGCAACCATGAAAAGAGTGTACAACTAGCCACTCATACAACTTTAGTCATTGTCTAATTTAAGTAGTCTGCCTGAAGGTTCTACACTAGCTGCCATACCTGGAACCTGCTTGTAGGTTCCCTATTTAACCACTCTGTTCCTGTATTCACCCACCTACCTACACCTACCAAGATGCCCTAGTCAATACTGGTTCAAATATGCCATAGTCACTAAGTCTTTAAAGCAGTTCACTCATATGAAAAACCTTTGACCTTGTACTAAATCTTCTAGAATCTTCTGTATCCTATTCTTACAGCTGACCTGGTATCACTATGGCCAAGACCAACACTAGCGGTCGGGTATACTATTAAACTGCTATGCCCTTGTAGAGTTCACCCTAACTCTGATACTGACTTCACAACATATCCTTACTACTTTGGTATTCAATTCAAGTTCCATCAAGCTGCCATTTCAGATAGCTCAGAAAAGTAGATCAAAACTATACACCTCTAGTTTACATATTTGCCAGCATGTACCCTTTTTCTCTGAAACCTGGAAATTCCGGTGGCCTAGTTGGTTCATCCGGTTCCTTCTTAAAGACCAGCACATTTGCCTGGTTTTACAAGTTCTAGCTTCATTTCATAAGTCTAATTTTTACAGTAGCACCGTCAAAGGTTCAGGTTAACTCTCTACTTGGGTCTTCCAAGTGGGCTTTCATCTTCCTACCTGGTTCTCTTGATTTATATGGCCTAAGAACTTATCTTGGGTTTACACCACCCAGTACCAGTTTGTGTTCTCTTGTACAATATTGTACAAGTGCCTAAACCTTCTAGTCATGCTAGTATAATACAGATTACAGGTATCTTATCTCAACCAATCACAGAAGACAGTTAGCCATAACACAGAAAGAATTGCAAATTTTTATTATCACTAGAATTTGAACTCTAGACCTGCCACTTGGAGGTTAACAACCTATTCACTTCACTAAGTCACCACACCTCTTAGTTTAATATATTTTTTACAATCTAGATAAACTTTAATAATGAGCTTTTGCATGTTATTATATTTTGATTTTATTTAAAAATTTTCACAAGTATGCGAACTTCTTAAAAATTTATCAATATTTGATTTATTTCCCTTTTGCTTTTTTCATTTATTTCATATTCATAATTTTTAAAAAATTTTCACAATATTTCAAATCTTTTCAATACATCATAATATTATTGCATATGTATATAGTGATGATAAAGATTATTTAAAATAAATATTCTATATTATTATCTACTTAAAGA